CCAGGCGCTGTATGACTCCAACGGGTTTAGCACTTCCCCATAAATACGTTACATATGATTTACGGACCTTTTTACAACTTCTGTCACACTTGGAAATAAATGGTATAAAATACCGACACAATGGAAATACAAACACATATGCAGTATAATGTCACAAACAGATCTGTTTGTGACTTGAAAAAGCCCACTGTGTGGGTGAAACGTTGTCAGTCAATGATCACATTATACTGCATATGTGTTTATATTTCCATTGTGTCACACTTAAAATAGATACAGTGTTGTATATGTACACTGGTGGTAAATGATCCTTGAACAACCAAAAAATCAGTATGACTTAATTACCACTAGGCTAGTTATTGTTTAACGTGTCACTTTAGTATGAGAACGATTGATGTCACTCTTATTAGTGTGAGAATGGTTGACGTGTATCATTTTCAGCGAGAATGGGTTAAGTTTAGACTGAGTGAAGTCATTGTAGACTTGAGATTGTATACACAGGGTGTGGTAGTGGTTCATTTAAAGTGAAGAGCTGTGGGACGAGACGTAAAAAAATAATTCTGAGTTTATGGCTTTTTTTTTTTTATCTGCGGCAACTGAGTAACGTTCTGTCGAGTTTATGCAGCTGTATAGTCTAATGTGTATTGCACTAGTACCCCTCAAGGGTCACCGTATCTTTTTCATGGGTCATATCAAGTAGTAATCAATGATTCTGTATCTGAGCCGTTTTCTTTACTCTGTGGCATACCCCAGGGCTCTGCTCTTGGACGGGTAATGTTACAGTTTGTTAGCTTTACTGTTAAGTGTAATGGGAGTTGATTATAATTTTTATGCTGACGATGTACTAGTTACATCAGGGTTCTAAATGTGATAGATGCCAAACACTGCTGTAGTACTCTTTTGCTAGATATTCAGACGAATGATAAGTGGAAAATTGAACCTAAATGACAGGTTTTGATTGTCAGGGGGACAAGAACATAAGACAGAAGGAACACTGCAACAGGCCTACTGGCCTATGCGAGGCAAGTCCAAGTCTCCTACCGCCTTAAGCCAATGCCCTAACCTAGTCAGGTCAGGTCACACTCACTCAAGGAAGGGAAACCTCAGGTGAGTACAGGTTATGGTTCAGTTTGCAGCATGTGATCAGTGAGTTATCTGGGTGTATACCTAAATTCTTCATTGCCACTTGCTGGACGAATAAACGAAATTGTTAAATTTTACAATTTTTATATTTGTAATCTTTCTGCAGTTAGAATATATCTTGATAAGTAGATTCTCATGATCATCCCTGCGTTTGTTTCCGCTCGAATTATTTTTTTGCAGTTTTGCTGTGGGTTTGCCTAACTATTTGCTAAAGACAATAACAACAATATTATTGTTAGGTAAGACACATATGCAACAGTTAGACAACTTTATTCCGAAACGTTTCGCCTACACAGTAGGCTTCTTCAGTCGAATACAGAAAGTAGGCAGGAACAGTAGAGATGTGAAGACGATGTAATCAGTCCATCACCCTTAAAGTCGTAGAATTTGAGGTTGTCAGTCCCTCGGCCTGGAGAAGTTCAGTTCCTGACTATGGAACTGAACTTCTCCAGGCCGAGGGACTGACAACCTCAAATTCTACGACTTTAAGGGTGATGGACTGATTACATCGTCTTCACATCTCTACTGTTCCTGCCTACTTTCTGTATTCGACTGAAGAAGCCTACTGTGTAGGCGAAACGTTTCGGAATAAAGTTGTCTAACTTGCATATGTGTCTTACCTAACAACCTGTCGGTATTGTATACCATTTTGATGTTCAACAATATTATTATTATTATTATTTTATTATTATTTTTTTTATTATTATTATAACCTTTTTACAGATGCTATATGGTCCCCAAGGGGTTTAACGCTTCTCCATGAATATAAAAATAATTATTTCTGTGGAGGTGAGTTTCTGTATTAATGTTCGTGTGGGGGCGGGCCAAGATGGTGTTGAGTACTGGGAGGATAGCAGCTTGCAGAGTGGCTTGAGTTCATGAAAGAGAGGGGGAAGGGAGACCCCACTGAGGGCCTCATCCTGTGTACACAGGCGTACAGTCCGTCTGCCAGCTTGCCATAACTTGACGAGTGTTTGGTTTCCAAATAATTGCCCTGTCACCGTCACTACACCTATAGTGAGTATATGTTGTTTAGTATGATCCTAGTTGCTATACTGCTTTAGCATTGTTGTCTCACAATTCTAGCTCATATAGCGAGCATTGGTTGCTCTAGTATGATCCTAACTCATATAGTGGGTGTACTCACCTAATTCTCACAAAATTGTGGTTGCAGCTCCTGACCCCGCCTCTTCGCTGGTCGCGAATTATATTTTCCTTAGTTTGATGGAATGTTGGGTCACTTACCTTTCTTACCTCACCTCCCCTCCACCATCCTACCCTTTTCTTATATTTCTATCCTGACCCATCCTTCTTCCTTCCTCATCTTACCACAACTCTGGTCATACAAGTTGAACTTGATGGAATGTAGTTGATTCGTGTCTTGAGCTGAGGACTATCTTTGTCATGTTGAAGGTGCATTCTACTATACGTTACCGAGATGACCTGATGAGTTATGTGGGAGGCTAGTTATGTCCTTCTTAGACGCTAACAAGTACGTGCCCTTGTTGTTTCCTAAGTATAACAAGGTTACATATCTGTCGCGCTTAGAGGACGAAGGATCAAGTTTCCACTACTCATTCCGAAGAATGACCCACTATGGTTTAGCACTTAACATACATATAATAACGAATAATGCAGCTGTAGTTGTGTCGCAGTATCACTGAGCTCCTGGGTGTTTATGGTGAGGTGTCGCATGAGGCCAGGGCCATGAGCAGAATCGAACTCTGCACCCACAAATAAACAAGTACTATCACGAGGCTCCACTGGCGATTAACACTGATTATCACTGTTATATTTACGAAACAGTGAAAAACATATTTTAAGTGAGAGGTGCACAGCACGCTCTGAATCCAAGTTGAGACCCTTCACTACAGGCAACTGCAACTATGACAGAACTTTAACACTTCAAGCTGATTTTTAACTACTTCGAAAATGAAAGGATTTTAGATAGGTAAAACAAAGTTTTTCTGTTCACCAGAGAGGTCCATGCATATAAATGTTGCGTTTCTTGCCGGACCAATTTAGAGGGTCAGGAGACTCCATAGCGTGTACGTGCGTCACCATCAGTCTAGCTACAAATAAGAAACATGTTCCATATTTTGTTTTTGTAAATATAGTAGGAACCCAGCGCGGGTACGCCAGTGGTTGTATTACTACTCAGCAGGTCATTTGGCCATCCTGCGTACCTCGGCAGTGGTATATAAATATAACTAGGATTTGCGTCTGGAGACATTTTTCCTAACTAAGAAAAACACCTTCATAATCACCAGCATTGAGCGAGAGGAAGTAACCACTTAGGATTTCACGAATGCGCAAGAAGTCAGTGGTGAGGAGGGTTTTGAGTACCTTTGACTGTTTGGCTAAGAGACAGTTGGTTTTTGTGATGAGTTGTATGACGTGTTACTGAGAACTGTGCGATAGGTGACACTATTCAACAACGTGTAGCGTGGTACCTCATGTAGGTAAGACGGCAGCTTTTATGAGTTGGTTAGCGTTTTTTGCCGCCGAAGTGGCTGGGTTATTGTGCAGAATGGATATGGGGTGAACAATAAACTAGCCGCTTCTGCGGCAAATATCTAAATTTCTGGGCGTGGCGTTGGCACTTGCGCGGGCAAGAAGTGTTCACCGGAGGTTGAGACTTTATAATGGTTCTGTACTGAGTGAAACGTCATCCAGCATCCATTTCCAGTTTGTGGTTTAATTGTGAATCAATGACAGTGTGAACGGTGGTGTCTAAGTAAATAAGTTGTTTAAACTATATAAATAAGTTGAGTTTATTATGTAACGGTTTGTATTTTAAGAATATTAAATTAAAGCAGATATTTGGAAATAAACGGAAACCTATGTTACAGGCTTGTGATACACACTTAGCAGAATATATTGTAGCATGAATAATGCCAGTGTGAGGAGCAGTCATCCAAGATTGTACCAGTTATGTGAGGAGCAGTCATCCAAGATTGTACCAGTTATGTGATCAGCAGTCATCCAAGATTGTACCAGTTATGTGAGGAGCAGTCATCCAAGATTGTACCAGTTATGTGATCAGCAGTCATCCAAGATTGTACCAGTTATGTGATCAGCAGTCATCCAAGATTGTACCAGTTATGTGATCAGCAGTCATCCAAGATTGTACCAGTTATGTGATCAGTCATCCAAGATTGTACCAGTTATGTGATCAGCAGTCATCCAAGATTGTACCAGTTATGTGATCAGCAGTCATCCAAGATTGTACCAGTTATGTGATCAGTCATCCAAGATTGTACCAGTTATGTGATCAGCAGTCATCCAAGATTGTACCAGTTATGTGATCAGCAGTTACCTTATTGCAACCATTATAATAATTTAAAACAGTTGTGTATAAAGTTTGATCATTATATTATCTAACAATCACTGTAACCGGTCATGGACACTAGGTTACCATATAATAGGTCACACTGGCTTGCCTGTACTGTACATCTTTTCTCGTATTTACTTTGGGTCCCATTTTACATATAATTGTATATTAAACCTTGGTGATTTAGCGCTTCCATTGATTATAATAACAGTGTATAATATTAAACAGATTTAACATGGTGATATGAAGATGTAGTAACATTCGCTGATATTCTGAAGCTTGACTCCTCTCCCAGTGTTCTTCTAACACGTCTTTGCTTCACTGCTGTAAACAAACTGCCAGTCAAGTAAGATGTTTGCAAGATATACATTAAACGATAAGAACTTTTAATACAATTACCTCGGAAAACTCCTGAGAACTATACGAGATACTACCTGTATACCTTTAACTATATATTATTAAATTATTATAAAAATTTATGCATAATGTCAGGTCACAGATAAATTTATAAAACAATATCACCTACCATAGATAAGGCTGGAGAATGTACTTAAAAAAGTGTTCTGTGGTGCCATCATAGAGGTGCTGTCAAATAGTTCTTGGGCCTTTCAGTAATTTCTATTATCGTTTCACTTGGTGGGAAGCAGATTCTAGTAACGTTCTAATTTTTGTGTCAGTAGACTTTTTATGTTATAAAGCAATACCAGCTTAGTGGTAGATGTGTCTTGAATATACTAGTGGTGAACACGTGGTACTAGCAGGCAAACATAAGGTAGGGAGTTTGAGCAAGTGCTCCCTCCTTGGACGGAAACGTAAGATGTGCCTTCAGGCGAACAATGTGTGTGATACTGAGAGCTGGCGGTGCTGATGTGTGCTAGTGGGGCTGGAGACTTGTACGCTGCCTTCCTGGCCTCACAGTGTTCAAGGGGGCAACTTTCCCTGCCTGTGTGTGGGAACTGGAGACGTAGGTGTACGCTACGTCCCTGCCAACATGGTATCTTGGGGAAGGGGGGGGGGACTTTCCCCTACTGTGGAGAGGACTCCGCTACCTTTCCCTCCTGGTGTGTGTCTGTACTCACCTATTTGTGGTTGCAGGGGTCGAGTCCTAGCTCCTGGTCCCGCCTGTGTCTATCTTTGTGTGCTGGAACAGTTCACATGTTGGCTGAATTGGTTGGATACGGTTAGTTTGTTAGGTTTAAGTCCTCTCTATTGCTTGTGGGTCATTACCGCCACATTTCAGATTCACACTAATAACAGGAACACTTTAATCCTTAAATTAGTATATTGATAAATAAACACTTCTGAGTTTATAAACAAAATACATTAGCAAAGACACAATGGGAAGGAGAACAGAAAAGACATATCAGGGCCTACATCTTAAATACTTCATCCAGCTCCCCGGCTGTGGACCGTGAGCCCAGAATGCTGCTGGCATTTTCGCTCTGGATCGCAACACTGAGTCTCGGAAAGAGGAAGCTGGCAGCTCTGGGGTCCTTGGTTTCCGTGATACCCTGTTCATCTTGCTATACATATGTCGATTATTATTATTATTTACTGTATTCAAGGAGAAGCGATAAATTCGCAAATATAATACATTGACTGTGCAGTGTGAGTTATCAGGTTTTATTCGAGTGAGCAGCCGTTATATCTATAAAAATATTGAGTCTTAGGCAGTAACATGTATGATACGCATATGATGCAAATATTTTGGTGTAGACTGTTTGTTAGTGGTGAGCGCTTAAGCAAGCAGCAGGTATGAATTCTCGTCTTACAAGCAAAACACGGAACTTTCCATCTTGTCAGCCACCACGTTGCCAGCGAAGGAAAACACAGGATCATAAATTACTTTCTAGTTTAATACTCAGTTTTTAAGGGTTATTTATTGTTTCTACACTGCTTACCTGAGATGTATGTTTGTGTGTGTGGCTGTGTGTATGTGTGCGTGTGTGTGTGCCCGTATGTGTTTGTGACTGTATGTGTGTGGCTGTATGTGTGTGGCTGTATGTGTGTGGCTGTATGTGTGTGGGCTGTGTGTGTGTGGCTGTATGTGTGTGGTTGTGTGTGTGTGTGTGTGTGTGTGTGTGTGTGTGTGTGTGTGTGTGTGGTGTGTGTGCGCGCGCGCGCGCGTGTGTGTGGGGCTGTGTATGTGTGTGCGTGTGGCTGTATGTGTGTGGCTGTATGTGTGTGGCTGTATGTGTGTGGCTGTATGTGTGTGTGGCTGTATGTTTGTGGCTGTATGTGTGTGGCTGTATGTGTGTGGCTGTGTGTGTGTGGCTGTGTGTGTGTGTGCGTGTGTACTCACCTAGTTGAGGTTGCAGGGGTCGAGTCCAAGCTCCTGGCCCCGCCTCTTCACTGGTCGCTACTAGGTCACTCTCCCTGAACCGTGAGCTTTATCATACCTCTGCTTAAAGCTATGTATGGATCCTGCCTCTACTACATCGCTTCCCAAACTATTCCGCTTCCTGACTACTCTGTGGCTGAAGAAATACTTCCTAACATCCCTGTGATTCATCGGTGTCTTCAACTTCCAACTGTGTCCCCTTGTTGCTGTGTCCCATCTCTGGAACATCCTGTCTTTGTCTACCTTGTCAATTCCTCTCAGTATTTTGTATGTCGTTATCATGTCCCCCCTAACTCTCCTGTCCTCCAGTGTCGTCAGGTTGATTTCCCTTAACCTCTCCTCGTAGGACATACCTCTTAGCTCTGGGACTAGTCTTGTTGCAAACCTTTTCACTTTCTCTAGTTTCTTTACGTGCTTGGCTAGGTGTGGGTTCCAAACTGGTGCCGCATACTCCAATATGGGCCTAACGTAGACGGTGTACAGGGTCCTGAACGATTCCTTATTAAGTGTCGGAATGCTGTTCTGAGGTTTGCTAGGCGCCCATATGCTGCAACAGTTATTTGGCTGATGTGCGCTTCAGGAGATGTACCTGGTGTTATACTCACCCCAAGATCTTTTACCTTGAGCGAGGTTTGTAGTCTCTGGCCCCCCTAGACTGTACTCCGTCTGCGGTCTTCTTTGCCCTTCGCCAATCTTCATGACTTTGCACTTGGTGGGGTTGAACTCCAGGAGCCAACTGCTGGACCAGGTCTGCAGCCTGTCCATATCCCTTCGTAGATCTGCCTGGTCTTCGATCGAATGAATTCTTCTCATCCACTTCACGTCATCTGCAAACAGGGACACTTCGGAGTCTATTCCTTCCGTCATGTCGTTCACAAGTACCAGAAATAGCACTGGTCCTAGGACTGACCCCTGTGGGACCCCGCTGTTCGCAGGTGCCCACTCTGACACCTCGCCACGTACCATGACTTGCTGCTGTCTTCCTGACAAGTATTCCCTGATCTATTGTAGTGCCTTCCCTGTTATCCCTGCTTGGTCCTCCAGTTTTTGCACTGATCTCTTGTGTGGAACTGTGCCAAACGCCTTCTTGCAGTCCAAGAAAATGCAATCCACCCATCCCTCACTCTATTGTCTTACTGCTGTCACCATATCATATAACTCCAGTAGGTTTGTGACACAGGATTTCCCGTCCCTGAAACTATGTTGGCTGCTGTTGATGAGATCATTCCTTTCTAGGTGTTCCACCACTCTTCTCCTGATAATCTTCTCCATAACTTTGCATACTATACATGTCAGTGACACTGGTCTGTAGTTTAGTGCTTCATGTCTGTCTCCTTTTTTAAAGATTGTGTGTGTGTGTGTGTGTGTGTGTGTGTGTGTGTGTGTGTGTGAGTGTGAGTGTGAGTGTGAGTGGGTGGGTGGGTGAGAAAGAACGTGTTAAGTGGTAGTATTAGTGTAGATAAGTGGGTGCTGTATACTCCTCTGTTTGGAGTGTATTAAGAGCAGGAGATATTAACTGGATTCAGCTCCTCCTTCCGTCATCTCAACGTATCACGTTTCCTTGTTATTAATTTGTGTAGACTAAACATATTAGCGTTAACTCATCCTTCAGATATAATGATATAAAATAAATATTTGGCAAGTTGGCTCACAACCGAAAGGAATTGGGCTCGACTCCCGGGCTTGGTAACACATATAGACAAGTCTCCTGACACTTTTTAATTGTCAGCACTGTAATTCAACGAAACTTTTAAAATAACTGGAAATAGGGCAAGCGGAAATTTGTGTATGCAATAATTTCGCAAAAATCATTCTGAATCTAACGAAAAACATATATATTTTATTGTGTTTATTATTAAATTATTGTAAACTTATCTAAAATATATTTGCTTGGATTAGGCTAAATTAAATTGCGATTGTCATAATAAGGTTAGGCAATTTTCCTAAGGTTCTTTTGGTACAAAATTATTAATTTTTACATTAACTTAATGAAAAATATATCTTTAAACGTAAAAGAGAAAATTTTTAGAAAGGACTTAATTTTGAACGAGTTCTTGCTAATTAACCAGTTTTACCTATTCAGCACCACACACACACACACACACACACACACACAGCAGGTCAGGGGAGACATGATAGCGACATACAAAATACTGCGTGGAATAGATAAGGTGGACAGAGACAGGTTGTTCCAGAGATGGGACACAGTAACAAGGGGTCACAGTTGGAAGCTGAAGACTCAGACGAGTCACAGGGATGTTAGGAAGTATTTCTTCGGTCATAGAGTCGTCAGGAGGTGGAATAGCCTAGCAAGTGATGTAGTGGAGGCAGGAACCATACATAGCTTTAAGACGAAGTATGACAAAGCTCAGGAAGAAGAGAGAGGACTTAGTAGCGATCAGTGAAGAGGTGGGGCCAGGAGCTGAGTCTCGACCCCAGCAACCACAATTAGGTGAGTACAATGAGGTGAGTACACACACACACACACACACACACACACACACACACACACACACACACACACACACACACACACACACACACCTACATACATACATACATACATGGTTTCAGGGACGGGAAATCCTGTGTCACAAACCTTCTGGAGTTTTAAGACACGGTGAGAGCAGTAAGACAAGAGAGAGAGAGGGGTGGGTGGATTGCATTTTCTTTGACTGCAAGAATGCGTTTGACACAGTTCCACACAAGAGATTAGTGCAAAAACTGGAGGACCAAGCAGGGATAACAGGGAAGGCACTACAATAGATCAGGGAATACTTGTCAGGAAGACAGCAGCGAGTCATGGTACGTGGCGAGGTGGCAGAGTGGGCACCTGTGACCAGCGGGGTCCCACAGGGGTCAGTGGTAGGACCAGTGCTGTTTCTGGTATTTATGAACGACATGACGGAAGGAATAGACTCCGAAGTGTCCCTGTTTGCAGATAACGTGAAGGTGATGAGAAGAATTCATTCATTCGATCGAAGACCAGCCAGAACTACAAAGGGATCTGGACAGGCTGCAGACCTGGTCCAGCAATTGGCTCCTGGAGTTCAACCCCACCAAGTGCAAAGTCATGAAGATTGGGGAAGGGCAAAGAAGACCGCAGACGGAATACAGTCTAGGGGGCCAGAGACCTACAAACCTCACTCAAGGAAAAAGATCTTGGGGTGATTATAACACCAGGTACATCTCCTGAAGCGCACATCAACCAAATAACTGCTGCAGCATATGGGCGCCTAGCAAACCTCAGAACAGCATTCCGACATCTTAATAAGGAATTATTCAGGACCCTGTACACCGTGTACGTTAGGCCCATATTGGAGTATGCGGCACCAGTTTGGAACCCACACCTAGCCAAGCACGTAAAGAAACTAGAGAAAGTGCAAAGGTTTGCAACAAGACTAGTCCCAGAACTAAGAGGTATGTCCTACGAGGAGAGGTTAAGGGAAATCAACCTGACGACACTGGAGGACAGGAGAGATAGGGGGGACATGATAACGACATACAAAATACTGAGAGGAATTGACAAGGTGGACAAAGACAGGATGTTCTAGAGATTGGACACAGCAACAAGGGGACACAGTTGGAAGTTGAAGACAGATGAATCACAGGGATGTT